GTTTGAGAACCCACTCTACAAAGCTGACCTCTAAGTGCGGGATAGTGACACCTCTTCCCTTAAATGCAACACTGCATTCATGACATGGTGTAGTGGAGCTGAGGAAACATTTGAAACCTTTGCTCTTCTTGAACAGGTAGCTTTTTGCTGGCACAAATTTGCTGGTGGCTGGAGTATCTTCCTCATCCGGTAAACATGATGTTTACCGGATGAGGTAAACATCATGTCCACGCGTTCAAGACCATCCGAAGCATCATTGAAGTCGGGGATAGGGGAAGGTCTGCCGGTGTTGTCTGTATTTATAAGCAAGAAACAATTTTATCAAAATATGCATAAGCAATTTGTGCTACAGGCAGACATGTCAGTCAGATGCCGTTAATAAGAGAGTACCTGACGGTCTGGTGTTGTTTTAGTTTCCTTAGGAATGATTGCCCGGCACGCGCGCAGAAGCGCGTTTATCGCTTATCAGCTGATACCACATTCGAACACAGTTTGATCATAATTATTTTGAATTTGCAAATCCACAGCTTCCTCAAAAATAATGAGGAACGAAAGGAGCTTCTACAATTGAACATCCGAAGTGCTCAAACTGTGCGACGTAATTCGCAGAATAATCTTTCAGCACATTCCTCAGCTCGTTGCCGCATTTTTGCCGAAGTGCAAGCATCTTGAGCCTTACCGACGGTTTGTTTCTTTGAGCAGTCACTGGATAGGGCTGGGCAAGTATTTGGAGTCCCTCGTGCACAATGCTGCCAAAGCTGTTGGCAAGTTCCTATGTCAGGATTTTCGCTTAGCTTTCACGTGCTGTCGTGGAAACGAGTACCTACTTTGTTTCACTTTGTGTGCGAGCCTAGTAGAAGCTGTAGGTGTGACCAAGAGTGCTAGGGGGATATCGGTCGCCGAGTGTGTTAGGGCATCACAGCAAAAAGCGTACCAAGCGACAGCTTGCGCCGTTGAACCCAGGGATTCTGGGCTTAATGGCTCCACCCTTACCCCTGTTCATTTCGATATGGATGAGCATAGCATAGGCATTGCGTATCACTACTGCATGATGCCGTTAAAGACCGCAGGCTAACAGCCTGGGGTGTGTAATGTGCATCACTGGCAAAATTTCTCATCTGCTGCAAAGACACCAGACACCCATTGGGGCTGACTAACTTCTCGCAGTGTAAATGTATGCACATCACAATATGGAGTTCCAGAAAAGCCCCCAGTTTTGGGGCCCCCTGTCTTTTTACAAGAGTGAACTTTGAGTTTTCAACATCTGTGCCTTTTACGCGCTCGCAAGCAGTGCAGGCATCATTTGGAGCAGCATGCAGCTTCGGCTTCGTTTGCTTATATAGTCAAACGGGGATATAGTTTCATACGACTTGATAATGTTTGGTTCGAGAGTGGACATTCTTTAGTATGTGCCATACCTAAGCAAGCAATGTCCGCTCCTCTTGCAGCAGACATCGCTTGCTTAACTTCCTCAGACCTGAGAGAAAAGTGTCGAAGAAAAAAAACATAAAGCTCATTTATTATGTCAGTAATGCTATTCAGATAGTCATGCCCATAAAAAAAAACAAAAAAAAAAAAAACATTCACTTCATTTGCAAGGGAGCAAAATGTTGTACCCAACTGGGTACCACCTCAGGACTTGGGAGTATGAAAGTCGCAAAAGCAATTCCTGTTTCGCAAGTGAAAAAATAGGACCCATTTTGTACATTGGATGCAGCTTTTTCCAGTACAGCCAGGATTTCTGCATCTCATCGGCGACTTACAGAGTATGTGCTCAGGAAAATGCCCATACATGTTGAAGCTGACCTCATCAACCGGAAGTGGAACTACCTTCCGCTGTTTTCTGGCCGGGAGAGCGGACTCGCTTTCTTCATCTGGCTCTAGAGCATCTTCCTCTTCATGAGCTTGATCTTTCGGGCATGAACAAATCAGTGCTTCGGTGATCCTACTCTTGAACTCCAAAAGGTTTAAGGTGCCTTTCCTTGCAACTTTACATCGCTTGCAACCACTTCAATATTCTATCCATGAGTTTGTCGTCACCAGGTCCAGAAAGTGAGCAAAAACCCTAATGGGCCACTTTTTCGTACATATTTTGGTCTTGTAATAGGAGACGTATCTCAGTCAGATCCACATTGCCCATGCTCATGTTATAGGCCACGACCCATACTGGCTGTGGTACTTCAACATTTTTTCCTTCTTTGGACCTCCTCTTGCATTTTCCTTCCGGGGAAATACCGAGAACAGCTGAAAGCAGGATGACTCTTTTTTTGTCCTTCCATTTTGTAATGCAGACTTTACCGTCATTGGGAACAATGCAGCATGAGTCTCCCCGCGCCATTTCTTTGTCGCTCGGCAGCTTTGTTGCTGCTCCTCTGGTTCTCTTGGACATAACTGTGCCGGTCAAGTAGATATTCCTTTTGAGGAGAAAATCTGCTAGCTTCAGACCTGTAAAAAATCTGTCTGTAAACACTTGGTTGGACTGTTTCAAGAAGGCGCTCTATGACTGCGCCCACAAAGTCCAAGTTCCTTCATGTCATGATCGGGAATGGTTCCTTTTTACCGTGTAGATCACAAAGTCAAGTGCAAGCTCCTCAGTTGTGGGCAGGACAAAGTTCTTCAAGCCAACGGGGTTTGGCTTACTGGGGAGATCATGACAAGCAGGACACCACCCACTGAAGGGTATCGTTTGCTCGTCCATGGAAATCTTTTTCGGGCGAGGAAGCTCAACTCAAGCCTTCCGGAAGCACTCAAAAATAGGCTCCGCTCGAAACAACTTGTTTCGCAACTGGGTTTCCGTGATTGAAGTCACATCGACAGAGTCCAACATGCCACGCAGCTCGAAAAATTGGTCGCACACCATGTTCTCAGTGACAAGCGGCACTGCCAACATACTAGACCAATATAGTCTAGCCCTCGGAAGTCCGAAAAGACTCGAGATCACGTGAACCCCGCCGGTTTTCGCAGCTCCAATGAAGTTGTCTTCACAGATCTGTGAGCTTACACTTTGACGGAGTAGAGAGTCCTCCGGTGAGTATGCCGGCAGAGTGGAGTCTCCTGGTTTCGCCAGCCACCTGGTAGGCTTCCTCTTTTTGATCCCTTCCTGATAAAAATCCCTAATGGTTCGATAAAAAATTATGGGACCAATAGGAATGCTAATTGGACCAATAGAAATTCCTATAGGCCCAGTAGGTAGTGATGCAAAACTATCAATAAATCAACTATCGATACTATCGATAGTTTTGGAAAAACTATCGATAGTATCGCAGAACTATCGATAGTGGACTATCGATAGTACCATCGATAGTTTTTCGATAGTCGACTATTGATAGTTTTTCGATAGTCGACTATCGATAGTATTGTCGATAGTTTTTCGATAGTCGACTATCGATAGTACTATCGATAGTTTTTCGATAGTCGACTATCGATAGGACTATCGATAGTTTTTCGATAGTCTACTATCGATAGGACGATCGATAGTTTTTCGATAGTCGACTATCGATAGTTTTTCGATAATCGTCTATCGATAGCAATATCGATAGTTTTTCGATAGTTGACTATCGGTAGTACTTTCGATAGTTTTTTTACTATCGATAGTCAGGTTTCTGGCAACTATTGATAATATCGATAGTACTATCGATAGTGCTAACTTTTCTCAATATGTAGTGCCGATTAAGAAAAATATTTAGAGTCATGTTCTCCGTTAGAAGTTTGTGTTCAAGCAAATATGCTCCAACTTATTAGACAATAAATTGACAAATGAACAAGAAAAGTAACTAGAAAAGGAGGATATATCACTGCTACAAGGCGAGCGGGAAGGAGGCTCATTTTGCGTGGCTTGGGTTCAAAGTTTGAACCCAAGCCACGCAAAATGAGCCTTCTTCCCGCTCGCCTGGAAGCAGTGATATATCCTCCTTTTTTAGTTACCTTTCTTGTTCATTTATCAATTTATTGTCTAATAACGTGGAGCATATTTGCTCGAACACAAACTTCTAACGGAGAACATAACTCTAAATTTTTTTCTTAATCGGCACTACGTTTTGAGGAGGGTTATCATACACATTTTATTTAAAAATGGGGTGGATTATTCGCTCGATTATTATTAGCAATTTTCGCATGTTCAAGGTAACGCCGCGAAAATAACTGATTACTTTGCGTATGTAGCAGCCACTTTTATGGCAGTGTAATTGTAGGGTAATTTAATGCATGGAAACTTATCACGAGTAATTGCAAAATAAATTCCTTTCTTAGTGACGCGTACAAGGCTGGTTTTACGACAAAACAAATAATACTGTCACAACTAGGATTTCGATTGATAATCAAGAGTGCAATCGATAGTCAGATCGATGGTCAACTGTGTGTAGTATGCCATGTTCTTGTTTGATATTTCTAATACCACATGGCAAAGTTTTTTTGTTTTTTTTTCCAATTTCTTGACTCTAAATTGCCGTCGATGAAAATCTTTGATGTGTTATACGGCGTTATTATACAACTTTTGACGTTTTCCTGATGTGCAAGTTTTTTTTTTTTTTTTTTTTCGTTTTGCTAATTGATAAAGAGAGCAAACGCAACCCCAGACATCGCGCCTCTAGTCTCTTCACCCATTGCGGCGAGTTGAAAAACAGATATAGGTGGAAATGATTGAACACAGTTGGAGTTACAACATTACGGTCAACGCTTTGGAATGTTTTTTTAGAGAATATTGTACCGATCAGGTTTAAAGTAATTTCCTATTGACCTAAAATGCTGTCCACAAAATAAAACACCACCAAATTTATCTTTAGAGTATTTATGAGTGAATAAAAAATAACACCGTAGAGATTTCAATGTGGAAACCTAAAATGCGTGCGGCATAACAAGTTTAGACTAAACAAACCGGGTCAGTGAATGATGGCTTATTTTAACCATTCTTCAGACAAAGTAACATTGAGGTACATGAAACACTGTTTAAATATAATTCTTTGCCTCAAGCTCAAAACTTTAAACAGTACGTTGCACGGCATTTAGTTTTGAGACAGCCAACAATTCTGATGGAGGAATACCAGCATGTCGACGTTTTTGCCCTTGAGCCTGCTCCGCCTGTCTGAAACGATTTGACCAGCAGCTGAGAATACCCGTTCTGCTGGCACGGACGTTGCTGGCACGCACAGGTACTTGAGAGCCATTTCGCACAGTGGTGTCATGGTGCTTTGGTTTGAACGCCAGAATTCTAGTGGATTCGTGTTAATCCCCTGTGGCAGCATCTCAAGGTATTGCCGAACCAACCGCTCCGAGTTTGAGGTGGGAGTTACAGGCTCCCGGCCACGCTTGTCTAAGAACCCCAAAATCCGCCTTTCTTGTGTAGTTTGTATAGAAGCTTCCCGGTGTTCCGAGAGTCTCGCTTCGCTAGAAGGACTGTTTTGAGACATTCGCCGGTCTAACTCGTCAATGAAACCAGCTTTGGCACGCTCTGCGTTTATGCTATCCAGGAAAGCTCGTTCTTTCATTCTTGAATCTAGCAGCGTAGCAAATGCTGTCAGGCGTGTTTTCTCGTAAGCATCCATTCTTCTATGCAAAGCAGAAAGGCAGTCTCGAAGCACTTCTTTGGCCACAGCGGTTTTCAGTGCAGGCTCAATGCGCTCATTCAACTCTGTTGCGATGCCGCAGACAGCAGGAACGATTAGAGATACGGTGGTGTACTGATCTCCAGACATCAATTTTGTGGCTTCCTCAAAAGGGTCCAGAATCTGGACAATGTCTTCGATGAGCATGATATCTTCTGCTGACAAAGGACTTGGCGCCCGGGGTAGCTTCGTCAACGTCAGCGCCTCCCCAACTTCTAAGATCCTCTTCAGCATGTATAAAACACTGTTCCATCGCGTCTGAGTTTCTTGCATGAGTTTCAACGGCGGTACTTTACCAGAGCGCTCTTGTTCTTCTCGGAGTTTGGTGGTAGCTGTGGAACTCGACCTCACATGACGCGCAATGTTCTTGCATTTCAACAAAACGTCGTTGAGTTCATCACTGCTTTTTAGTCCATCCTGGACTGCTAAGTTCAACGTGTGAGTGAAGCACGGTAGGTGCTCGATGTTGAGCAGCCGGCACGCGAGAATCATCCTCTTGTCGTTGTCTGTGACAAGCGCAACGATCGCCTCTCGAATACCTCAGTCTTCTGCCACACCTGCGATGGCCTGGGCCACGTTTTCAGCAGTGTGATCTTCGTGAACAACCGCAGTTGATAACACTGCAGACCGCAGAACTGTGTCTTGCACAAAATGGCAGGTGACAGTGACGTAGCTGTCAGTCGTGCATGATGTCCACATGTCTGCTGTTATTGCACATTCCCTTGCTTCTGTCAGCATGTCTCGCAACCTTGTTTTGGCTTCATCATACAAGTTAAGTAGAAGAACCCTCGAAATCTGCGTTCGGCTTGGCAACTTGTACCTGGGGTCTAGCGCATGGCAGAGGCCTTGAAATCCCTTGTCGGTGACTATCGAAAATGGTTGCATGTCTTTAGCTATCATCAGGGCCAATTCCTTGTCAAGTTTATTTTTCTTTTCAGTCTGGTCTCCGTACTGCGTGGCTTTCTCAGCTACAAATAAATGTAACTTGCTTTGCTTCGGCCTTGAGGGGCCAGCCACAGCCATTCGCGAGTCCCCAACTTCCTCGGGCTCTCGCTCTTCCCGATCCTGGTGAAACGATGATCCAGCATGGCATCGTTTCATATGATCTCTTAAATTTGAAGTGTTTCCACTTGTCTTGTATTCCTTTTTGCACAAAGTGCACTTTGCGTATCCACTTGTCGCATCTTTTACGAAGTAATCCCAAATCTCTGCTTTTGACTTCGGCATTCCGCACGTCAATAGCTGTAGATAAAAAAAGAAAAACCTGTTTTTAAGAAACGTGTATTTTCTTGTTTTCTGACGTTGCAAAATAACTTTAAGTCTATCAAAATATTAAAGGACCCATGCAAAGGAGCAAAACGAATTTGTAATAGGCACCCGCGGGAGCCGCTGCGGGCCACGTGGCAGACCTGTGCGCTGTCGCGCGGCGCCGCTGCCACCTCAAAGTCGCGCCGCCGCCGCAAGCTGAGCGTGGTGTGCGTGCGCCGCCGGTTGAACGTGTTTCTTCACGCCGCCGCAGCCACCGCCGCCGCGCAAGTTCGTCTACTCCGGGGCGCCGCCGCCGTCATCTGACCGACGCACAGGTCTATCACGTCTGCTTGCGCCTCTCAGGAGTTTCCTTTGGGCTCTAAAAGTTACTTATTAATCTTTACTTTTTGTTGCACTTCAAACGAAGCTGAATAAGTTACTTTTAGACGCCATAGGAAGCTTCCGAAAGAGCGCAAGCACCACGAGACAAATAGCGGCCAGTCACGTGATAAATAGCGGCCACTTTTCCGCGGCGCCCGCCCGCGGGTGCACACTACAAATACGTATCGCGCAGTAAATATAGCTCTAATTTTTTTTCCTTTCCGTTGTAAATTCGTTTTATAACTTCCTTTTCCTAACCCGGCTGCTTAAAAAATTGTGTATTTATCCTTTGCATCTGTTCTTTAAGGACTTCCTTTAGTGTCTATTCCTGCACCCACAACACATGAACATTCGGATCTTTTCAATTAGCCGAAACACTCACTGCCCCTAAAATATTTGTGCAATGATGGGTCCCTTGAATTGAACAAAAACAATTCATCAGTATCACTTCATTTAAATATAGCACCATTTTGAGGTCCACAAGATTACAAGCAAAAATAGACGCGTGGCCTGTTGAAGTGGATCAGAGAAAGCGCGGTCATAAAAACGAAACTTCAGGTGAACATAACGAGTTGCGGTAAAATGCATGTCTCCTCCTACCAGTACAAATCGTTTTAGGGGCGCGATGGACGTCGATCAGTCGCCAAAATCTGTCAGATGCGTCGACACGATACCACACCAACCACACCGACCACACCAACAGACCGCAAGAACCTCGAATGCGGACAGCGAGTCCCTCTTTGCCTGCTTGACGAGGTCCAGCCAGATTCAGTGGGCTACCGCTTAGTTTAGGTTTGCAACAGTGCGGTACTTTTGTTTTTCTGTTTGTGTTTGTTCCGCGCTAGAAAGGGCGCCGACTCTTACAGAAGGTACCAGCTAGTCCCGCCTACCCCTGGAAAAGTAGCGACATCCTTTGAAGAATGCCGCCTGCTATCTTGGGCCGATCCGGGCGGCGCTACAGTCGACGTGCGAGCGCGAAATAGCAAAATATAACAATTTAGAGCCTGCATGAGGGACGAGCAGAGAAAAGGAATGCTTATGCTGTTGGAGTGCAGCGCATGCTATGAGCTCATGTCGACAATCAAATAACGCCGACTGTGCAACGGCACGGCTTTCATCGTCTTTCTTAGAGCCCATCCTTCGCGGCTGGTATACTTTGACAGTGCGCTTTTAGCCTGTGTCTATGCATTTTGCGTGTCTTTCAGCCTTTGACTGCGCTATGACTCAAGTATAGGAAGACCGTCTGCAATCTTGGGCCGATCCAGGCGGCACTACAGTCGACGCGCGGGTGTAAAAAAGCACAGCATAAAGTTAAAATGTGTGCGCGTCAGAGGAGGAGGGAGATGTCGCTAGATTTCTTATTCAGGGGCATTAGTGCCGCCAAAGCTGGCGCCGTATGCTCCGCAGTCTGAGTGCTCGCCGCGGTTTGGCGCACATTTGTACTAGTATTCGCGCGTGCGGAGCGAACACAGTTGCCGCACCGCCGCTCGCCTCCCTTCCTCGTCTTTTCGCCCAAAATCCCGTCTTCGTCATCACTGAAAGCTGAACCAAAGTTGGCATGGCAAGTGCTTGGGCTGGTTGGTGTCCCATTTGAAAAAAATAAAGCGAAAAAAAGAGAAGGGGGAGCGACGCAAACTACTAGTGTCGCAAAACTATCGATAGTAAACTGTCGACAGTACTATCAATAGGTTTTCGATAGTCGACTATCGATATTTTTTCTATAGTCGACTATCGATAGTACTATCGATAGTTTTTCGATAGTACCATCGATAGTTTTTCGATAGTCGACTATCGAAAAACTATCGATAGTACTATCGATAGTACTATCGACAGTTTTTCTATAGTCGACTATCGATAGCACTATCGATAGTTTTTTTATAGTACTATCGATAGTTTTTCGATAGTCGACTATCGATAGTACTATCGATAGTTTTTTTACTATCGATAGTCAGATTTTTGGCGACTATCGATACTATCGATAGTACAATCGATAGTTTTGGACCACTACCAGTAGGCTTTCCTATGGGACAAATACACAATCCTAAGGGGACCGATACAGATAACTATGGGACAGATAGAAATTTCTATTGGAACAATAAAAATCTCTCTTGGTCAAATCTCTATCACAATTTTTGCTAGGGAGTGCACTAAAACTGAAACAGTGCATGAGACATGTTTTAAACAGTAAAATCTTACTTCCTTTGAATGACCCTAATGGAGTTTGACATCCCGTATAAGGCCATACAGGTTGTGGCTTCCAGTAAGGAATCTTTTAGGACTTCCTGTTTGAGTGTATATGGGAGTTAGTTTGTTTCCTCACAGACCATGCAGGAACTGGTTTCCCATACCAAGAACCCATATAGGAATCAACAGGAAATGCCTTCCTGTAAAATTTCCCATACAAAAGTATACAGGACGCACCTTCTGGTAACACTTCCTGTATAACATTTATATGGGTTCTTTTAATAGGGAAATAAGTTCCTACTTGCATTGCACCTAAAAAAGTATAAAAAAGCACTGAAGCTTTGTGCCCTATTTCACAGAGCACTGTGTCGTGAGGTATTACATTTATTTTGGTACATTTTTAAACTGTGATAAGCTGCATCGCTTTTTTTTTTTTTTTGAGTGATTGCGCCTTGAGCCTTACCAACAATTGACTCCTTTGGGCTGTCCATAAGCATGGTAATGAGGGCTGGGCGAGTTTTTGGAGTCCCGTTGTCAATATCAGGAGCTTCTATCTTCTTGATCAAATATTTCTCTATTGCAATCTGCACTGCTCCAAATATTTAAAGCGAGAAGAGCATCTATCAATAACTTGACTGTGTGGTGTCCCTTGTAATAAGGGTATGTGAACAGCCGGCCTTCCAGTCATTGAGTTGTTTCAGTCTCCACCTCCGTGCAGTCCAACACGACTCGCACCTTAGCATAGTCTTTAAAACAGCGGGGGATGTTTTTTTTTAAAATTTCTTCCCTGGTTGGCCAGTATACTGCACTTTCGAGCGCAGCAGCTACGGAAGGCAATGTACCATAAAAACACCTCTGCACAACGACCTCGCTTACTCGAAACAAAGTGCTGTTGCACTTAAATGAAAATAATGTTTAATGTTTTACTAGCATGAGCACGACACGCTTGTGCACAGATAGTTTGGTATTCGTGCTATGAAACTGCTCTACATTCTTTGATACCCTTTGCAGTAGCTGAATGGATCATGGCTAATTGTCATGAGGGTGGATTCGATAAGATTTTCTAGGCCGAAGCAATAACACTGCTAGGCAAGTTTTAATTTGAAGTTGCACTTGCATTTTATATGGCAGAATTAAAAGTGGGTAACCCTCTTACGAACGCAACAATTTTCAGTGCGAGCAACATACAAAATTTTTACATTAAGCTAGGATGTAAGCTAGCCAGCGGGCTAGCACCTAGAGAACCCCTGGGCTCTCGTAGAAAGGCCCAGTAGAGAGGGAAGCGGCAAAGGTCCTCCTAGGTAGCAAAACCTCAGCACTGTACCTTTTGTCGTCTATAACTGGCCAGTGCGGGTTACAGATTGGGCACGAGTGCTGCGTCAGCATTTGACTGGAACTTTTCTAATCAGTGAGAACACTGTGTCCTGCACTGGCCGCTTGTAGGGCACAGAAAATGCAACGCTGCGCTTCTGCTGTCTGGGTGGTGTTGGTAGTGCCCGCCCCCTTGCTGCTCCCTTCACTACTGTGCTTTTTTACGACTGCCCAGGGGCCCATCAGGTGGTGTTGCAGGCAGTGATTGCCAGACATTCTACTGTTCGCATTTCACATTTATTGCGCGACACTGTTAGCACGCACATGACATCGACACTTTTCGCATTTTACTTGGACAGTTTTTTTACAGACAGTCAGTTTTATGGTCCAGGTTGATGCCCCGGATGAATATATTCCTCCGTATTAGATGGCTTGGCAACAGCATATGATTCGACAGAAAACATTGCAAAAAACGGATATTGTTTTTTTGTGTTAAAGGGATGCTGAACCGAAATTCGGATTTCACAAAACAAGCTTGCAGAAGTGTTCAACAGGGCACCATAAACCACGAAACATTACTCATATAGCCATATCTCGAGCTGATGGCCGTATTTCTGGAAAATAAAGGAGTGAATGAGGGAGAATGTTGATGTCGTCTTATTGCAGAAGAATTGAGAAGGTGGAGAAATGGCCTCGCTCCCTGTCCTCTCCGCCCCCTCGCAGAGTCGAAGCAAAAAGAGGAGGAAATAAGAATCGCGAGGTCGCGCGTCTCCTCGGCCTTGTGCGAGTGTGCTCTTCTTTTACAAAAATACAATGATCCTTTGGAGATACCGCTTTATGAGTGACGTTTTGGGATTTGTAGCGTCCTGCCTATAGGTTCTGCGTTGCATCCTGAAATTCGATTTTCGGTTGCACATCCCTTGAAAGGTTCAATATATGAACCAGAAGGTTTGTGCCATGAATATGTTGGACCTTGGGAATAATAGCCTCTCTATAATGTCATTTGGAGCATTTTTATTTTCATTCATTGTCGATATGAACATGGGCACTAAGATATTAAATAAAATATAACAATGCTATTATTAAAGTAAACACAATGGCCC